TCCCTGCCTTGGAGCGAGAAACGGAAGATGATCTGGACCTGGATAAAGCCGAAGCGATCCTGAACGAAGATCATTATGGTCTCGACAAGCCGAAAGAACGTGTGCTGGAGTATTTGGCTGTTCAGAAGCTGGTCAAGAAATTAAAAGGGCCGATTCTCTGCCTTGTGGGGCCTCCAGGCGTCGGCAAAACGTCATTAGCCCGCTCCATCGCCCGCTCGCTGGGCCGTGAGTTCGTGCGTATTTCGCTCGGCGGTGTGAGAGATGAAGCCGAAATCCGCGGGCACCGCCGCACGTATGTGGGAGCCATGCCGGGCCGGATTATCCAGGGCATGAAAACGGCTGGGTCCATGAATCCGGTATTCCTGCTGGACGAAATCGACAAGATGGCCTCCGATTTCCGTGGAGATCCTTCCGCAGCGCTGCTTGAGGTGCTGGATCCCGAGCAAAACGCGACGTTCAGCGATCATTTCATCGAACTTCCGTTTGATTTGTCCAACGTGATGTTCGTGACCACTGCAAATACCCTTCACAATATCCCAAGACCGCTGCTGGACCGTATGGAGGTTCTTAACATTCCGGGATATACGGAGCTGGAAAAACTGGAGATCGCCGAAAGTATTTGCTTTTCTAAACAGAAGAAGGATCACGGCTTAACAGACGGACAGCTGGTTATCGGCAATGAAGCCATCTTGAAGACAATCCGTGAATATACACGCGAATCTGGCGTGCGGAATTTGGAGCAGCAGATCGCTGCACTATGCCGCAAAGCAGCCAAACGGGTCGTAGCTGATCCCGAGCATGCCATCGTGATTGAACCGGATCAAATCAAGGATTATCTTGGCGTGCCGCGGATCCGCTATGGTGTTGCCGAGCTTGAGGATCAAATCGGCACCGTAACCGGGCTGGCCTGGACGGAAGTTGGCGGCGAGACGCTCGTGATCGAAGTTACGGTCGTTCCGGGTTCGGGCAAGCTGACACTGACCGGGAAACTCGGGGACGTGATGAAGGAATCGGCTCAGGCCGCTTTCAGCTACACCCGCTCTAAAGCGAAAGTTCTGTGCATAACATGTACCGGTTTGTTCCACAGTACGTGTTCCGGAAATGTATCAAACGCCTTGTTTTAGCAGTTTTTTCAATACATGTACAGACTCCGCCCAGAAACTGATATGCACATACAGCTTATACCCTCGCAAATGCGGTCATACTACTTTCAGTCCTCGTATCCAGAACTTACGTAGTGCTAATGATTTGCAAGAATCCATAGCCTATGCTTACTTGATATCCTTAGGGCCTTTGAACTTCTAAGGCCCTAATAGAAGATCCATGTAACAAGCTCACGCAGCGATATCCAGCTCTGACGCACGACTGGCACCGCGGGTAAGATGGTGAGAAACAAATGAGGCGATACACGTTGTAAAACTTGTACTGTATTACAACCTGAAGGTGTCCCTCGGCGGGCGGTACCTTCACCTTGTTTAAGGTTACAAGCGGTGAAATGCGTGTGAGGCTCACAGTGAGCAGCTCACCGGTATCGCTGTTCGCACGGCGCCTGATGTTTCATTTGCTTTATTTCAATAAAGCTTGTGGCTATTAGATCTGACCTATTCGCTCTTATTTTAATAGGGTCGGCAAAATCGAGCTCGTCATCGTTAAAATAAGGGGAAATAATGAAACTCGAATCGTGAGACAAAAAAAAACTCAACAAGTGCTTCGAGAGCTGTACATTTTCCATTCGAACCGTTGGTGTGAATAAGCACACCCTTTCCAGCTCTTTCGCAACCTTTTGATACACGCTCGACTCCAAGGATACGCTTTAATTTCGATGTGGCACAGCACCTGATGCTACGTTATTTTGACAGTGAACTCTCGATTTAGACACTCTTTCGGACCGCTGAGCTCCTTAACATTTACTTAAATTTAAGTTTGTTTGCTTTTGGCCAAAATATACCCTTCTGAAAATGGTAAATATAAACTTAAGTACATTCCTGAACGACAATGCCCCGCGTGGGGCTGCCGAAAAGAAGTGCAACCTCATGTAAGCACCTTTACGACTCACTGACACGTCTCTTACTTAATACACGAAGGTATGGCCGGTAGCAAAGGTTTTGGCCGGTTATTAAGTACATGGATACATGAAGCGTTTTTGTTGGTATTAAATAATTTAAATCAATAAATATGAGGGGGAAATCATCTCAATACTAGCGTTTGCAAAATATTAGCCAATTTCGGGTCTTTAATTAAATTTGCAATAACAGGTCAAGATATAATACTATTATTAGCTCTGTTGCAATGCATACAACGGAGAATGAATAGGGAGTTTAACAACGTTTTTATTTTTCAGCCTCAGCCACGAAGATATGTAGCCTCTTGTTCTTTTTTGAACATATTTGCTACCAAAAGCTGAAAACAAAACTGATCTCATACACAATATTTTATTTTGCAAGAAATGTTATCCTACTCTAGTATTTATTAATACGTCTGCCTATTAGCAAAGAAGGCAACGTCAAGAGCGTTGCCAACTATTATTGATCCGTAACAAGATTTTGTTTATGTACTTCAAGCGCTGAGATTTATTGATGAGAACATGCGTCTGACAGGGGCGGACGCAGTCTTACAATTTTAGGGGGGACATTTACTTTAAAAACATTTTTTTTAAAAATTGAATCGTATATTTATATGTTTTTTTAATATATATATTTTTAAGAGCTTCATACGAGTCCGAAAGCTGGACTACAGAGGAATACGCCTTGACGTCATAAAGCTGAATGTGTCGAGAACTGCGTCTTTATCAATTTGGTTGGTAAGATCTCTTTCGACAGCTAATAGCATCAGGTT